ACTTAAATGCTTTCCCTGTGTGGAAACTTAACACTCTTCAGTAATAGTAGGTTTTTCTGAAGTCCAAAAATTTCCAAAACATAGAAAGTTTTCCGAGGTAGCTAAGAACGTAAAGGTCAACATCAGTATTAAATTGTTATTAAAGCATGTAATAACTTCAGCAGTCGCATAAAACACTTACTACAAAAGGAAAAAGCCAAGAGGTTCCACTGCCACTTTGTCGAGCTGCAATAGTAGTAGGACCAGACAAGGAAGGTATCCAAAAAAATCCTTCAGTGAGAAGTCCCTGAAATTAGCAGGAACTTCATGAGGCATAAACATTAAGAAAGAATAAAATACATAAGCAAAAACTAATTGCTTTCAATTAGTCAACCTCATCAGCCACATTGGAGAGAGCTCTATACAATCCAATCCAAACTGGTATCGTAGCTAGAGTAGGCAAGCAACCTGCCAAAATGTAAAACTACATCTGTTATAATGGTATATGGATGGTAAATGATCAAAGCATACCAAACAAATACCGCTTGAATGATCTCTCGGTCAAATGGTTAACAAACTATACAATAATAATTCGATCAAGTTCCACCCTTCACTGCAGTAAGCATGTTTAAAAACCATCACAGGCCGCAGTAGCATCAGCATGCCTTCCTCAGATTAAATATGTTACATAGATTATATCTTTATATTATGAAGGTTTTATCAGAAAACATAGGAAATTTGGTCACCAACATCAAATGGACTTTGATGCTGTTCGCCACTGTCAAATTCTTTCATAGAGAAAGGTACGAATAAGACAGACTCGTCCTAAAACCAATAACTGATAAGTGATAAGGAGGTAAGAAAAAAGGAGAGCTGATTATTCATTGTGTCGACTCCGTTGATGAACTTTTTGGTTTGATAAAACAAACAATAGACTGTATTTGATAGCATTTTATTTGAGTTGTACAGGAATACACGAAATGAAATAGTGCCCTTTACTGAATATTACGGGGGTCGAGCTCTCCTGTGAGCTCATCGGGTTTGCAGGGGGCGCCACACCCCTATTGGGGGTTCGGTGGTGAAGCCCCCGAAAGGTAGATGATTTTATTGATTGTCTATCTACTGTGTTGAGCTTTGCACTGAACCCTAATTGATCAATGAAGGCATGAACAGTCCATTTTTTAAGCTCTAAATCATGCATGGATGGTCCAGATTTGATGACTTTTAGGTTAATAAATTAGACTTAATAAATACAAACCAACCCTCAATGAGAAAGGACAGAGCCTCCAATGCAGGAAAAATCTCAGAAAAAATCGTCCTCTTCAGTCTTCAGCATCAAGGAGATTTTCACAGAGCATGTAGACCTTAATCCTTTGGGAGATCTTCTATTGTCAGGGACATGTTTTTATTCCTTTGTTTCTGTTCTCTAGTTCTGTTTTTGTAAACCTTTTGATCAGGGTGATTTGATCTGACTGAAATCTCAGTCATGAGGGTTTGATTGAGTATGGAGAGTATCTAGATATCGTATTGCCTTACCTATTGAGATCAGGGTAGGATCAGGTCTAAGAGGCTATTTTTGGCCAGACGAGCCTGGGGGTTCGGATACCTTTCTAGAAAGTGGAACATCTCACAAGGTGCGATAAAGGCAGGGATGCCGGCAGGGGCCGAACCACGTAAGTTTGAGGTTTACTTTTTCTTTATTTGCTTCTCCTGTTTAGTTGTTTAATTTAATCTTAACTAAAAATTCTCCAAAAAATGAAAAAGAATAAAGATAAAAGATAAAGAAACGGGCTTTCAAATCTAAAGCACAATATAAAACAGGAAAACAACAACAGAAAAACCTTTATTACAGAACTTTTGGTTAATGACCCCGAAGAACCAAAAGAGAGACTGAAGTAAGAACTTATAATTTTCACCTTGTTACCTCGTATTTCAGTATTTATTGATGAGGACTCCCCATTGCACATCAGGCATAAGTTAAAATGGACTTTAATACAGTAATCAATGAATAATTCCTAATATGATCCTGAAGACGCTAATATAGGCACAGAAGTAGGTCTTTCTAGAAGAGGCTAACACAGATGCATAAGCAGATTTTTTTTTTTTAAATTAGGCAAGAATCATATTCTCCTACAGGTGAAAATCATATCATCTACATATCCATGGTATGGCTGACAAGATAGTTAAAAACTTCATGTGAAAAAAGATAATGTTATTCCAAGTTTATGTCTCACTCAATTCTTTAATCTTTTCCTTTCCTTTTCTCCCTTAATTCTCAGTGATGAAAGTTGACATCGTTTGAAACCGACACCAGATATAGCAGTACTAAATTTCTCAAACCATGCCCGTGGACTCTGTTTGAGACCATAAATTGCCTTTTTAAGCTTACAGACAGTATTCTCCCCCTGAGCAACATACCCTGGAGGTTGCTCCATATAGACTTCCTCCTGCAAGTCACCATACAGAAAGGCATTTTTAACATCCAGCTGAAACATTGTCCAGTCCAGATTAACAGCCATAGAGAAAAGTAGGCGAATGGAATTGAGACGGGCTACGGGAGAGAACGTCTCAAGATAATCGACCCCATAGGTTTGAGTATATCCCTTAGCAACAAGACGAGCTTTATAACGATCAATTGAACCATCGGTGCGATACTTTAAGGTATAAACCCACCGACAGTCAACTACGGTAGCGCCCGTCGGAGAAGATACAAGATCCCAAGTACCTCTAGAAATAAGTGCATCCATCTCCTCATCCATAGCATGTTTCCAAGCAGGATCTAATACGGCCTCCTCATATGACCTGGGTAGAGATATAGAGGACAAGGACAAAGCAAACTGACGAGAAGATGGAGTAAGACGGTCATATGAAACAAAATCAGATATAGGATGATTAGTGCAAGACCGTTTACCTTTTCGATGAGCAATTGGAATATCTAGATCAGAAGGAGTGGAAGGAGGCAGACCGGCAACGGGAGATGACTGTTCGGCTGGAGCAGAGAGAGGGACAGGAACTTTTGAACGACGCTAATACGTCAGTAGTGGTGGTGGTGCAGATGGCATAGTGGAAGCATTTTGTAGTCCTGGAGAAGATCCATTAGCAGAAGGAACCGAAGCAGGTAGTGGAATAGCAGTAGGAGCAATAGACAGAAGAGGCACAGATGGACTGACAGTTGGGGGTGAACCAGTCAAGAAGAAGTATGGAATCGACTCAAAGAAGGTTACATCGAACACAAAATATTTCCTGGTGGATGGATTATAACATCGATACCCTTTTTGCGTACGCGAGTAGCCTACAAAGACACACTTAATAGACCGTGGGGACAGTTTATCCAATCCAGGAGACAAATCCTAAACAAAGCAAGTACAGCCAAAAACTCGAGGAACCACAGGAAAAGGTTTTTTGTCAGGATAAAGGCAGGTGAATGATATTTTACCATTAAGAACAGGAGAGGGCATCCTATTGATCAGGAAACATGCACTGAGGACTGCATCAGACCACAAATACTTTGGTACATTCATATGTACCATCAGGGTTCTAGCAACGTCTAAAATATGTCTATGCTTCCTTTCAGCAACTCCATTTTGTTGTGAAGTGTGAGAACATGATGTTTGGTGGATAATACCAATATTTGCACAAAAACGAGATAAGTCATGTTTCATGTATTCCAAAGCATTATCGGTACGAAGGATACGAATAGAGGTAGAAAATTGGTTTTTGATTTCTTTGTAAAATAATTCGAAAACGGTGGAAACCTCAGATCTCTCTTTTAAAAGATAAAGCCAAGTCATGCGAGATAAGTCATCAATAAAGACAAGAAAATATCTGTAACCGTTCACGGAAGGAATACGACATGGACCCCAAACATCAGAATGGACTAACTCGAATGCAGAACTGCTGCGTTTATCAATACGACTCGGATAAGTAGCACGATGGTGCTTACCCAGTTCACAAGACTCACAACCTAAAGAAAAAATAGAAGACTTGATAGAAATGACAGACCTAAGCTTTGATAATGAGGGATGACCAAGACGTTGATGCCATAATAAAGGATTATCAGACTTATCTGCAATAAGACCAGTAGCAGACATATTGTCATCCAAATAGTATATGCCTCCTCTCTCATGCCCCGAACCAATCGTCATTCCAGTTGCTAGGTCCTAAAAAACACAATGAGAAGGGAAAAAAGTGACTTTGCAGTTGTGTTTTGTGAATTGACTGATGGACAGTAAACTAACAGGAAATTTGGGAAGATATAAAACATCAGTAAGAGTAAGAGATGAAGTAGCATGAACTTCTTCATCACCAAGAACGGGAGAGTATGTCCCATCAGCGATCCGGACCAATGGAAACTTATCAGAAAGGTTGAAGGAAACAAAGTGGTCCTTAAGACCCGTCATATGAGAAGAGGCGTCAGAATCTAATACCCATAGTCTGTGAGGAGAGGCAATGTAGGCATCCATACTGGAAGAGGATGCATGAGTAGCAGAATAATTGTTCTGAGTGAGATCGAGTTGACACAGCCGGTCATACTCAGTTTGAGAAATCTGAATAGTGGAGGGAGCAGAAGTAGTAACAGGAGAAGCAGCAGAGGTAGGTGTAGTAGTGGTAGCAGAAGATATGGCAGATCCTGTCATTGTTACAGAATAGGATAGTACGATATCAGGAGGATAATAGTCTCCTTGTATAAAGTAGAAACCTGAAGGTCAGAACCTGAGTTATAACCCGAAGGTCAGATGTGAGGAACCCGAAGGTTAAAAACCCGAAGGTTAGTTTTGAGGAACCCGAAGGTTAAAAACCCGAAGGTTTTTTTTTTTTTTTTTTGAAATTAACTCTGTTTTTTTTTTGAAATAAACTGTCTTTTTTTTTTTAGATCTCTTTCAGCAAACGTATACAAGACTCAGCCCAATGCCCAACAACAGAAAGGGCCAACTAACAAAAGCCCAAATAACAACAAAAAAAGAACCCGCAGGTCAACCAAGCCCAAATATTTTCGAAGGAGCGGATCTGGATCAGCGATCAGCGACGACGAGGTGAGGCGGCAGCGGGTCTTCGAAGAAGCTTCGAAGGAGATCTGGATCAGCGACGACGAGGTGTTCTATAAGGTGAAGTAGCGACGACCGTTGAGGACGATGAAGACGAGGACGATTTTATATCAATTCATTAAGTCTATAAAATTATTTTACAAAAGTTTTAATATTGTGTTTATGTCAAATAACAAAAACATGTATGTTTAGTTTTCATATTTTTGGACATATTTAAAAAATAATGAGTTTTCACTATTGAGAAGTGCAATTCTAAAAAAAAATTTGTAACACGTTCATTTACATGTTTACAATGATTTCCCAATGTTTTATATTTTTTGGAATTTATTTACTATTTTTAAAGACACATCAAAAATCAATTTTACTATTCAAATCAAGCTGATACAATGTTATTAGTCGACTGATGAATATGTTCAGTCCACTGAAGAAAACGTCTGGAATAACAAAAAGTTTATGTTTTGTTTTGGTCGACTGACCAATCAACTGATAAGGTCATCAGTCGACTGATAAGGTCCCTGTTAAAACTAAGAAATCAGATGGCTTGACCATTTCATTCATCTCCATGGGTATATATAGGGTTACATATAGGTAATAGGCTAATGGGTTAATGGGCCCTAACCCGATAACCCAAGAACTAATTCTAACAGTTTAGATATATCCAAGAATACCTTTTAAACATTTGCATCAACTAATTCATATTTTATGGTAGTAACCTAACAAATGGGGGGGAAATCTTGAAGCCAACTCCATATATCTAATTAAATGTTAGATCAAAAGTTGTTTACATCACAATCGAGCATCCTTCCCTGTCCTTTATCCACCATAATAGATTAAGATGAAGTTCCTATTCAGTCCTACACTAAACTTTATTCTTATATTAATTCTGAAGCAACAATAAATCCGCCAAAACCATAATTCAACCTGGAAACAGATATGGAGTCAATATCAAACTAACCTCACTTCCCTATGTCGCATCCTAAAACAAGCATGGAGAAAAATAACGCAGCTTTTGATGTTTGAAGAACCTAGGCCATGACAAAATTATATTGCTAAAAAGCAGTTTTAAAGTATGTCTCTATGCATATGAATGTTTTTTATAATGAAATTTTCCTTATACACCTAGATTTTTTTCCCTCAAGAATCCCATTGGATGTAGAAAATTATAGTGCATCTAATGGAGTAATGAGTACATCTCCAATTGTGTATGTTTACATGCATACCTACATACATAAATACATGTATCTCCTATCCCTCCCTCCCTCTCTCTCCCTCTCTCTCTCTCTGTGTGTATATGTATGTGCGCATGTCTGTGCACCAGGCACGAGCATGTATGGACGTCTGCGCATGGACGGATGTGTGAGTGCTTGTACATGTCGTGCGTGTGGGTGCGCAAACGTGTGTGCATGCATGCATTTCAACATGGGCCGGCATACACATCCTAAAGAGTGTTAGGAACACATGGTAGCATCTATTACAAGTATCCCCTCATTCTAATATGTGTCCGTTCCACACGCTCCCCGTTTCACTTCTCTAAATTGAAATGTGTTACAATGTTACATTAACCACGGTATCAGTAGCCCACAAATAGTTGATTAAGTCCTCATATAATTTTTTGGTACTGGCTAAAACCAAATTTTCATTTCCCTTTTCGAGCATTTTGGTCTCAACCCTGTCTCCTTGCAGATGCTAGATTAACATATATGTTGATCCTTTTGGTTTGAAAATAATTTTTCAAAGTTTCTTTTTGAGCTTTGCATCCATAAGGTTTTATAAATGAAGAAAGGTCGAGTCAACATTAAGTAATATAATGCCAAAACTTACTTGTCAGTATACTAACTTCTTAGAAAATAAGTGAAACACATCCATAATAAGGAATCATAATGAAGTAATTTGGTAAATATATAAATAACCTGCTAGAGGGTTTACACCAGCCAATTTATAAAGCCGAGCTGTTTCAAGTTGTATCCTTTCCTGCAAGTATATTTCACAATAATTGAACATGAAGTTTATTCTCAATGTAGTACTATTATAAAAAATGATACCAATACATCAATAAGTTTGCACTCACTATACTATAAATAGATATGATGTCAAGCAAAGACAATAGATACAGCTCACCGACAGGAGCCGAAAGAATTTGGCCTTGTTTCTATTATTAGGCAGTTTACCCTATATGAACACACGTAAATTCAAGACAGGAGCACATGAAAAGGCCCAGGAGCAAACTTACTAAATCATACCAAATGTCATAAGACTTTAGATAGAAAAACATTATCATCAAGGATTTTTTTTTAGTACAGAGGTATTAAATACTAAAAGACTGTTGTATGAAATGCTAACCATTTAAACATAAAATTCAGCTCTTAAAAATTTTGAAAAAATTAATTGCTCCATCATATTTAGGAATAACTTTTATGTAAAGTCAATTGGAAACAAAAGGTTAATTTATCTTCAAATATTCTGACACTTGCCCTTGGAGATATTAAAAATATAAACTAAACCAGGAAAAATATACCCCTTTAAGAGCAGTTTAGCGTTATTACTTGTCTATGAAACCGAAGTTCACCTGGGTATTCATGACATCCCTTCTAAATCGAGCTAGCTTCCCATTGGAAGAAATATACAGAGTTAAAATGGAGACACACGCATGGTTGCTTAGCTTATTAAAATAATTGCTGTAATGTTATAACATGGAAGCATAATTATATCTATATAGTTATGACATAACTAAATGCATCAGAACATTCATTTGGAACTTTATAGGGCATATGATATACAAATACCCACCTGATCACCAGCATAACGTTTTTGGATTGCCTTCACCTGTGGTTGTAAAGATCGCATCGCCATTGCTGACTCAACCTATAGAAGGACATATATTAGGAGAATAACATAAAAGTTTAAAAGGATAAACAAATCACCAATTACAAATGAGGATTTTCAGATTTGCATATCTTTGTATTTTGGATCTGTAGTCACTAGAACGAAAAAATCATTGAAGATTAAGGACATGTTTGGTAAATAGTCAAAATGGCTTATAAGCCACTTTGAGATGTTTAGCAAGTGGCTTATATTGGTTTGTAATCCACTAAAAATAAACTAGGGTACCCTAGCTTATTTTTTGGTGGATTATAAACCATAAGGTTTGACCAAGTAAAAGACAACTATACACCTTATGATTTCAAATTTTCAAGGCCTCGTTTAATATCTAACCACGAACTCCATGTCCTTTTTTGTCATTTTGACAACAGTGATGGATTACAATCCACCCATTTGCCAAACACTCTACTATTGGCAATGAATTATACACCACCAAATTTACCAGACAATCTAGATTATAATCCACTTGGATAATAATCCATATCTGGATTACCAAGTGGATTATAATCCAAAGTTCCCAAACATGCTCTAACTCTTGCAAATTTATTTAAACAACTGCAGACATAATAAAGTATTATAAACTACAAGAAACAAGCTCTATAATTCTAAACGAGTTGTATTATAACAAAGTATAAACACAGCTAGCTACGATAAAGCTAACAGTTTGTTGGCCTTAGGCATAAAGTTTACACAATACATAAAAGCATATACCTCATGTGGTCTGTACAGGTTAGAAAAGAATTGAAAGAAGAAGAAAATCTCGGTGGAGTATCCGTAGGACCCAAAGCACTCAAAACATCAAAACTGCTTCAACAAGGTCCCAAAAAACAGCAGTATACACTTCCTAGAGCTTCAACAACTAGCTAATGAGAAACACTCTGGAGAAGCTGAACAAAAAAATAGTTTATTCGCATACACCTAGATAGGTACTCATTCAATGGTTTCTCCACACACCTATTCGGCAATAAAAAAAGAGCTCCAGATTACTCCATCAATTAATTAGGGCAGTAAAAGAACATGGTCATGCTTGGTTTACCAAAGAGATGGACCTTGATGGAGTTGAATGATAAAAGGGGTTTCCCATAGTAGATACCAAAGACTCAGAACAAAGGTTTTGTTGTTGTCGTTGTAATCAATTTTAACGCACAGCACACACTTGTAAACAAAGAAATTGCTAAGTCCACTATGTCATACTAGATGCATGACTAATCAAGAGACAACCCAACTAGGCTTAGTTCTTGTTCTTTTAATTCTTTCTAACGCACTAGCACTAAATCTACACCTAGAAGCTGCTGTCTCCACTCATACTAGATGCATGACTGAAGACAGGACACTCATCTATGAAAACTCTCATAGAAACTCCACCAAAACCTCTACAAACGTAGAGAGATAATGTGAATGTTTACCTAAGTTGAAAGTGCAAGCAAAACTGCCCTTCCATGTAATGAAGGTTATTTATTGCGCAGACATGTCACACTGAACTAATAAACAAACATATTGATAGTAAAGTTATATTGCCGAGATATTATTCGCACAGAACCATCTGCACATAAGAGTGTTGCAAGCACTAGTCATTCAAAAGATCATCAACAAGGGACTTAACCCATAAAATCACTTAAAGCTTGATAGTAAAGTTAACAGGATCATTAAACATTCATTGTGTGTCTGAGTATCTACAAGTAATAGCAACCTTGGGGCTTGCGTAGCCAATGCATGTACGTATCATAATCACATAGTTTTAATAGTTTTAAAGGTAGGTTGCTAAGGTCATAGCTAGATAAGTTTGGTTGCAGAAGAAAGAGCAGCTACCAGAGTATAAAGATATAAGCCAGCAGCCTAAAGTTGAAACCATTCTGGAATCTTTTACTTATTAGCACGAAAGGAAAAAAAAATTAAAAGCATAGCCATAGTGAATCCATAATATAAACAGAAGCTAGAGAGGACCTGCTTCTTCGTCAAAGGAAATGTGGCTGCCTTTACAATAACAGTGAGGAGAATGATTGCAAACCCATAAGCATATGGAACATGCAAAGCTGAAAGTCCATCCTTTAGAACCTGTATTAGAGAAATCAGGTACAGGTAAGAAAAAGGGGGAA